TGCATTGCAATCATGCCTCCACTAGTATAGGTCTTGGGGTTAGGTCTAGTATGGAGTTTTTGTTCTGAATAACTATTATTTTTCCCTTAAAAAAAATAATAATACCTTCATCATGTAATAATTTTTATTGGAAGAAATTTATCCCACCTAAACTACTTTCTTTCAAGCACAAGAAAAACTGTAAAACCTAGCACTGACACAATGAAAAGAGAATAGGTAAAAATTTATTTATTATTTATTTATTTTAATTTATAAAATTTATATATATAATTTTTTTTAAAATTATATGTTAGCATCCTCTAATATTAAATAACTATCAATTATAACAATTAAATATTGCAAAGTGTATGAACCTTATATCATCCTATGCCCTTTTCTTGGCACGGCACTGATGCCAATTTTAAAATACAGTAGAACCTGGATAAGTTAAGGCTCAAGGGAAATTATTTTTTTAACTTAATAAGGTTTTTGAACTATTAAAAAAAAAATTTGACTTAAAATTATTTAAGAATTTGAGTTTGTATTCAACACTTATTTATAAAAATATAACAGATTGATTCCAATTGGCAATACTAAAATTTGTGAAGTTTTAATGAATTTATGTATTTATTTTAATAATTAACAGCTTTTAAATTTAAACTAATTGCTTTAACTAGTCTAACCTACCACATTCAAATCTTTTAGCTATACAACTACAAATAATTTATTTGTATTATCTATAATATTTATTTCTTTTGAGTAAAATTTTCTTTTTCAAGGAACGCAATATTCTTAACCTTATCAAAATTCTACTGAAGTAAACATATTATCTATAAAAATAATAATTTTACTATAATTTTTTTTTAAATACTTGAAAGTAACATATAAAATAACAATTACTTATATCTTAAATTTTAAGATATTTTCTTACTACTCCCTCTAATATTACATCATAAAAATAGTACTATAATAACTACATGTATTACTTTATTACATTGCCCTATTTTAATTAAAAAATTTAACAATTACTATTAGATTTATTTATTTTTTTGCAATCTAATATTGTTCGATGAAAATTCAAATGAGAAATTTAGCTACAATACTGTATTTGTAGTATAACAATTCATTCTAATGTTGATCTGATATGAAATTAAAGCTTATTAATGTAGTATGTTAAGACAAGTGTATACAAAACCAATAGACATCAAAATTGTACAAAAACTATAACTGAAATCAAATTTATAACAAAATAAATTAACTTACATGAAATATTACATGAAAAATTTTACATGAAATAAAATTTGTAATACTAAAAAAGGAAAAATTATTTCATTAAACTCACTTTAGTTTGTTCAAGAACTATATGTTAATTCGATAGATGACTTTATTATGATAGACAGTAATAAAAAATCATGATTACAATCTTTTTTTGTTTCTTAATATGATTAGGATATTAATCTTATGATATTGAAGTATCTTAGTTTACTTATAAGTGCATACTTAATAATACAGATGATAACTTACAATAGCAGGTATCAAAACTAAAAACTGAAATCAAATTAAGGAATAGATTATTAATTATTAAAAAAAAACTAAAAACTGAATTTATATTAAAACAATTTTTTTAACAAATTTATTTACTGTTAACAACTTTCTAAATAAAATTCAAAATAATTTTAATTTATGCAAATTTTTATATATTTTAAGGACACTTGTTGCTATTTAGTAAAATAAATTAAGTGTTCTAATCANACACTTGTTGCTATTTAGTGAAATAAATTAAGTGTTCTAATCCATGCACGCTTAATTAAATAATAATAGCTATGAGCACCATATCAAAATGGTTGCTTAATATTTATTTATTATCTACAGTGAAACATAACACAATCATAAGTTCTCTTTATAAAATTGTGTATTAATATTCAGTAGCTGATCCATACAATTATTCAATTTGAGAACTCTAATTTAACTAAGATAAAAATTATTTTAATTAATCAGTGAAAAGTTTAAAATCAGTTTTAAAATTACATTATTTTAATTTAGCAATTTAAAAATAGTATTTTAACATACTTTCATAATAAAGGTTACTGAAGTTTATTACATACAAAATGTTTTAAAATATCATATTATTAATATCATTTCATTTATAACATTCCCAATTATACAAAATTGTTTAATTTCAATATGGATATAATGTCAAATTTTTGTCTATTTGCTAACCAATTTAAAAAAATATATTCAAATAGTTAAATTTAGATAATTACTTACAAAATTGTTAAATATAGTATACCAATATTGTTCTGTATATTATAATCATTTTGGAATAGTTGGAAAATAAATTAAAAATCTATAGCCAAAAAAAGATCATCAATACATGTTTTTGGAGCCTGGAGTTTTTTTAAATCTGGCCTTAATTATACTACACATCTAATATTACATCATTATATCGACTTACTTTTTAAGTAAAATGTCACTACAGCAAAACTTATTTTTCTCAAAAGAGAAAAAAGTTAAGTTTTTCGGTAATATTGTCATTCGACAGCAGCAAATCCAAAACTGTAAATATCTTCCAAAATTAATCTCTTTAATTTTTCGGTAAATTTCATTTTTTCTGCAGCTATTTCATAAAATAAAATTATTAAGACAGATCTATAAAATTTACTTCATTGTCTATTGTACTCGCCTATTGTTCGATATTCTTTAAATTTAATTATTTCAATAAACTTTCAAATATAATTTATTAATTGTAACAACATACAAATAAAACAGTTTTTTATTAATTTACTGCACTAAAACACTATATTTAGATAATAATTAAACAATGTAACATTATTAATGTACAAAAATGTTTGACCACGCAATCTTGTAGTACAGCCAGCAAATTAGTACTGTACCAGTTTAGTTTTTTAAGGTTATGTTTAAGATAATTAAATAACGAACAAAAATCTTTTAAAAGACGAGCGTTTATATGGTTAATTCATANTTAAAAGACGAGCGTTTATATGGTTATGTTAAAGCTTTTAATTCATATCAGTCAACAAAAGTTAAAAAGATTATTTTGTGTAAAGAATGATTACGATAACATTATCGTAGTATTTGATTGTATTTAGTTATTATACTATGGTGAAGGGAGGCTAAGAAATTTATGCTTTAGTCTTACATACCCATAGACTGCTATTAATAATACACCGAAAATCCGATTTGTATCTATTATTGTTATCACTCATTTAGTGCGTCGTAAATTTTTATGGTTAATTTACCTGTCATAACTTGATCAATAAAATTTTGTTTATGCAACAGCAAATAAAAATAATGACTTCTGTATTTAATACAGTAAAATAACAATAGAAACTTGGCATAAAATCACTCAACTTTAACAAGCTGTAACGGACTAACGGTTAATCGGAAAAAAAAATTGTACGAACAAAATTATTTGTAATTTTTTTTTCTATCATATTATCAAATCAAAAATAGTGGTTCCCATTTAAAAAAATTATAAATAAACATTTTTATCCCTGAAGGGATAAAAAAAAAATTTATTTAGCTTCATATTATTGTAGAGTTTTATAAGCTTAGTAATTTTTCTCTGTACAAAAATTTAATATTTTCAATAGTTACTGAGTAAACGAGTGTCTTATCCTTAATGAATCACCCTGTATATATTTATATATTCCTACCGCCGTATATGCATCACGTATAGTGTTCCTACCACGCACCGCCCACCAACAAAATACGGCTATATCTCGTGTAAGATACATTGTCGTACTTAAGTCACATTACTATATACAGAGTGTTCAGTAAGTCAGGAAACGGGTATCTATTGTTCTCATTGTTTGTAACAATGAGAACAATAGAAACCCGTTTCCTGACTTACTGAACACCCTGTATAAAGTAATATAATTAACCCTCGAATTTTAATTATATTTTATATTAATAAATTAGTCATTATATTAGTAAATATATTTGTATAGATTACACAAGGGTTCAAAAATTAAGGAAAAAGGTTCCCATTATTTGTAGTAATTGACTTGTTTATCTTTACTTATTGAACGTGTAGTATATCAATACTACAGATGAACAGCGTGCAGGCAAAATGTGCTGTGTATAAACAAAGGCGATTTCATTGAGTGAGTGGGGATGTAACACCCCTTAAGCGTTTTTCACAGAAATACACTTTTAACTATAAATTCTAAAAAAATTATATATTCGATGCTAAATTAATAGGTTTTTTTTTAACCTATGATTTTATTAAAAATTTTTAATTGTTCCTATTTTTTAATCAAATCTTTGATTAAGTTACATTAACATGACATTCTGTTCAAACCATAGACAATTAACCACGTAAGTATTTAAAATATCAAATACCATAAATCAAGTGAATTTTCTAAGTGATAGCTGGATACATATCTAAAATATTAAAATAGGGGTAGGATCATTTGACATGCATAATTTCAAAACTAATAATGTGCAAATTATAAATAAGCGAGCTTGTTTATAATGCGTTATATTCAGAAAATTTTATTTTGTAGGGTTTTATTATATTCAATTATAATTTTGTGGGTGAAGGTTTATTTTTATTTTTAAATATGTCAAAATTAAACTGTTATGCATTGTTGTAAAAAATACTTTTAAAAAGTATTTAAGGCGTCTGGGTACCGACCTTTTTTCAGGGGTCGAATATAGGCAATTTTTCGGTTTTAACATGTTACGCAGTGTCGTTGTGTGAGAAGTAAATGATTATTAGTGTGAGTGTCCATTATTGGGAGTATTTTCGTCATGTTATAGTCGATAACAAAACCGGTTGTGTACCTGACTTACTTTTTGATGCAATACGATTATGTTGATAACGACAAACGTTTATTTTATGTAGTATAAAATCTATAGTTTAACACCAGCCTCACTGTAAATACTAATAGACGTGTCATGATTTCACAAATTTTAATTGATTATAAAAATAATTAAACTATTTATTTTCGATATTTAAGAAAAACTAAATATTTACAGAAAACAAGTTAAATCATATGAGATACATATCGATTATTTTGAAGTTATAAAACTATAAAAAAACTAATTTTAATTATAAAAATTCAATTTACATAATTACATTATTTACACACTAAAATATTTAAGTTTTGTAAGCCTGTTCTTATGGGAAGTCTTTTATCATTCACTTATCCATTTTCAATTGCAAACCTAGTTTCTTCTTTCCCCGTTAAATCTATCGAATCCCATGCAGTTTTTTCAGTTTTCTTAGCAATATAATCATGATATTTTTGATACGTCTTATTACTCATACATGGCATATTTAGTACAGCAGAAAACTGTTCTAAATTTGTAAACCCCTGACTAGTATTCAAAGTAGCAGTAACAACTGCAGTATTTATACTATGAGAATAATTTAATTTGGGATCCTCTGAATAAATAATTTCTTTTTTTTTGCAAAAAATTACATTCAAAGTGAAATTCTGAAAAAAAACCCCTTTGAACTTCAGTTTTAAATACATGATTTGAAAAATTACAAGCAAATAACTCGTGTTTAATTGATTTCGAACTATTAAAAAAATATTCAATATTTATTATTCTACGACTGTTTAAATTATACCTAAAATAGTTAAATATGTGTATTAATTTCATTGTAAAATAATACTATAAAAAATAAACTAACTCTTTTTGAATAATTGGTTAACTTCTGAAGAAATTTTTTTACAAGTATCAAGAGTTTGTGCACTGGGTGACAATGGTAAAAAATCATAAAAACTATCATCTCCAATTTTTCTAAAAAAAAAAAAATGTTTGTTTCTAATAAATTATATTTTAACCTTGCCCTTCTTTAAAAATTTTTCTTCGTGAAAAAATTACTCACTCATTTATTAAATTCTCCTCGTTACTTGTTTGAGGTATGTCAAGTAAAATGTTAGTTTGAGAATTGGAAACATTCTACCAAAATAATGTATATTGTATTTATTTTTTAATTTTCATGTGTAGCTGAAGTGGTATCTTGATTTTACAATAATGTGTTTTTTATTTACAAATTTTTTCTACTAATAAGAACTATTAATTTTCAGTCTGATGGTGTACCTAAATAATTTTTTTTTTTTTGAAATGTCACTTATACCTCATGAATTCTAAGCACTTCGTATTATATTAAATATAGGTTATATCTCATTATCACTCAAATCTGACCACCTTTTTTTAAAAAAATGATTTACTTTTTTTTATTGTATGTAGTTTAAAATTCATTTTATTCATAACATCAGTTACTTAGTGTTAGATCTAGTTTGATAACATAGTGTGAGACTGAGAAAAACACGTTTTTGTGTCAGATTTAAAGAGAAATTATTAAAATATAATGCTGAATACATCAACAAGATATATTTTTTGATCTTTTGGCGTATCGTTGAACAATAAATGTCCAGTAGGTACAGATATGGATAGACACAAGCAAAAAACACATCATAGTAAAACTAATACCTTCTCAGTTTTCTATCGAAACTAAGAAAGTGTATGAAAATTATTTTTATATATTCGTACCTTACCAGATATTTTTTTATGACTCCCCATTTTTTTAGCGACACTTATATAGGAATACAACAACAAAATTTGTTTCTTACTATGTAATGATGACAGGTTTGCAAATAAGATAAAAGCAAATAATCTAATATCATATATACAGGTATAATATCAAGTATGCATTGTAACTATTTTTAGGCAGTCGGTATTGCCCTAGCAACCTATGGGCAAAAAAATAGCTGCAGCGGATAACGCACATACGCGCACGAGCATGTCACATATAACAGCTACTGTTTGAAATCCATTAGTTTAAGCGTACAAAACAACCCGTTTTTGTTCCATCAGTACGACAAAACTACTGACGCGATAAGAATTCTGAAAACAAATTTGAATTTAGTATCATGTCACTTAGGTATCGGTCAGGCCACTTTTTTGAAATTGTGATTCCTTTAACGTAAAAAATTATTTTGAAAATTTTAAAATTATTCGAAAATGAAAACTGTAATAAAGGGTTAAAAACATCAAAATTTCAAAAATATGGCCTGACCGATACCTAAGTGACATGATGCTGAATTCAGATATGTTTTCAGAATTCTTATCGCATCAGTAGTTTCGTCGTACTGATGGAACAAAAACGGGTTGTTTTTGACTAAAAAGCGGTCGGTACCCAGACGCCTTAAGTATTTACTCATATAATTTATAAAAAAAGTATTTAAATTACCACTCAAATACTATTAATAATTATGTATTTGAAATAATCTTCAAAATAATGATTGAAATTGGAAGTTATTTTTTTTTAATAACAAAATTTGCTGGTTGCACTTTAAAAACATTATTTATTCAAAATGTGTTAACAGACATGTTACTCCTTATTTTAGTGATTGTAGCAACACCAACAACTCTCTCAACTGATGCACTGCTTAGTAGAGGAGTGTAACACTTTAATACAACAGTTGTATTTAATGAAAAACTGAAAACAAAGTACAAATTTTTTAATAAAATTATACTATTTATATTTATTTTAAGTATCCAATTAATCTTACTTTTAGCTTCGATGCGAAGCTGAGAAGGTATTGGTTTTACTAAGATATGTTTTTTTTTTTTTTTGTGCCTGTTACCACTTTTTCTCAGCTCTCACCGAACCGATTTCTTTCAATAATACGTCAAAAGATCACAAATTGTATCTAGTCGAAGACATTACCCTCAAAAATTGAAAAAAATTCCCTCGTTCCCCGTAAATGGGGGAAANATACGTCAAAAGATCACAAATTGTATCTAGTCGAAGACATTACCCTCAAAAATTGAAAAAAATTCCCTCGTTCCCCGTAAATGGGGGAAACCTCCAAAAAAAAATCGCTAATTTTTGAAATTTTTTTTACTTAAAAGTGCCATAACTTTTTCAAAAATAAACATATCAATATAATTTTAGCTTCGATGCGAAGCTGAGAAGGTATTAATTTTACTATGATGTGTTTTTTTTTTTATTTTTATTTTTTTTTTTTTTTGTGTCTGTGAACGCTCAATCTCAGCTCTCGCTGGACCGATTTTGATGAACAATATGTCAAAAGATCACAAATCGTATCTAGTCGAAGACATTACCCTCAAAAATTGAAAAAAATTCCCTCGTTCCCCGTAAACGGGGGAAATCCCCCAAAAAATTACAAATTTAAAAATCGCTAATTTTCGATATTTTTTCAATTTTTTTTACTTAAAATTGCCATAACTTTTTTAAAAATGATCGAATCAATATAATTTTTTTTTTTATAGATACCTTAAATATTTACCTATCATTTTATATATTTTTGTGAACATTTGACCCTTTAACAGCCCAAAGGATGGGGTTTCAAAATGGTAACTTTTTTACAAAAAATTAACTTTTTCAACTTAACTTTTGAAAATGTTCCGGAAAGACTGACAATTTTATATATACCTTAAATTAAAGCTAATGTAATATACTTTAATTTGAAAAAAAAAAATTTGACCTCTGGACTTGTCTTCATGGTGAAAATGACTACCGTATGCAAAAATATGCTATTTTTGTGAAAAAATTCTTGATATTATATTTTACATTTTTTAACATTATGTTGCTATAACTTTTTAAAAAATGCATGAATCAACTTTATTCTTTAATGATAAATACTTTATATATACTTCTTTCATTCGACATACTTTTTTTTAAAATCGGACCATTTCCCTTTATACAGGGGGGGTGCAAACCTTTTAAAATGCGTATAGAAAGTAGAACTTTTTCAACTTAACTTTTGAAAATGTTCCGGAAAGACTGACACTTTTATATATATCTTAAATTAAAGCTTATGTAATATACTTTAATTTGAAAAAAAAAAATTTGACCTCTGGACTTGTCTTCGTGGTGAAAACGGACATCAAAGTTAAAGAAAAACGTACGATTTCCGTGAAAAAAATCTCGATTTTATATGTTATATTATTTAATTTATATTTTATATAACTTTTGGAAAAATGTATGGATCAATATTATTATTTTTTTATAATAAATATTTATATACCCCTTTCATCTGGCACGCTTTTTTTGTAAATCGGATCATACCCCTTTAACAAGGGGGGTCAAAACTTTAAACATGCGTATTGTTACTAAGATATTTTCAATTTAATTTTTGAAAGTATTCCGGAAATACTGACACTTTTAAATATATCTTAAATTAAAGCTTATGTAATATACTTTAATTTGAAAAAAAAAAATTTGACCTCTGGATTTGTCTTCATGGTGAAAACGGACATCAAAGTTAAAGAAAAACGTACGATTTCCGTGAAAAAAATCTCGATTTTATATGTTATATTATTTAATTTATATTTTATATAACTTTTGGAAAAATGTATGGATCAATATTATTATTTTTTTATAATAAATATTGATATACCCCTTTCATCTGGCACGCTTTTTTTGTAAATCGGATCATACCCCTTTAACAAGGGGGGTCAAAACTTTAAACATGCGTATTGTTACTACGATATTTTCAATTTAATTTTTGAAAGTATTCCGGAAATACTGACACTTTTAAATATATCTTAAATTAAAGCTTATGTAATATACTTTAATGTGAAAAAAAAAAATTTGACCTCTGGATTTGTCTTCATGGTAAAAATGACTACCGTATGCAAAAATATGCTATTTTTGTGTTAAAATTCTGGGTTTTGTATTTTATTTTATTTTAAAATACCTGACAAGGGGAGTACAGATTTTCATAAATATTATATAAATTAAAATTGATATAGTATAGATAGTTAAACTTATTTAAATATGTTTGTTTCTTTTAAGTCGAGAAAAATAACTTTGAAATTTGAACTAGCTTAAATAGCCAATTTTTCAACCGCCGGAAGCAACGTACGGTTGCCGAGTTGGTAAAATTTATGTTTTACACGCTTGGGGTACGAGGTTCCAACCCGCATATGGCAATGAATTTTTTGCATTTTTTCTTAATTCTTTTTAAGTTAGTATAAATTTTAACTCGTTTGATTTTTATCACATTTAGATTCAATAACTTCAATAAAGATCAAGGATCCCATCACTTTAGTCGCCCCTTGCAAGAAGAAATTTCTTATTCGTATTAAAATTATTTTACTATATTTTAAGTTTTCGCTTCGATGCAAAGCCGAGAAGATATTTTTTTGTGACTATCATTTATTTTCTCTGCTCTAACTTGACCTACTTTTTTCAACAATACGTCAAATTACTACAATTCGTATCTAGTTGAAGATATTACTCTCAAAAATTGAAAAAAAAATTCTAATTTATCAATTAAACAGTTAGTTATTACATCGTCTCCATAAAGACAATTAAAATCATTAATTTCTAATGTTTTCAAAATATTTATTAACGAATGAAGTTTGATATGATAGGTTTCAACTACAAAATTAAATCATTTTACTTTGTAATTTAATAATTTTATTACTCTGTTTGTGTGTGCTACTATTAGACTATAATATTCAAATTTTTTTCTAACGTGTTGCTATATAAATCATTTCTAAAAAAAATGATTGTTTTTTCTCCTGAATTAACAATTGATTTTTACAAATATAATCAAATTTTATAATAAACTCAATTGAGTAAATCTTTTTAACAACTTTGTTTTGATTGGTACATTTAGTTAAAGTAAATCATTAAAATTAATTAAGTTCTCAATATTTCAATTATAGAATCTTTTCAACAAACAACAAAAGTTCCTAGGAAATTATTACTATTACTTCTATTTAAGTTATCTATTACCATAAAAATGCAAAAAAATATTGAGCTTTTCTGATAAATTTACAATAAATAGTAATTATAAAACTTTCTGACTGCATATTGATCTTAACGATACAATTTTTTTAATTGTCATAAAATTTTCTATTTAATTATGTCAATGTCAAACTTACCAATTGAGCTAAAAGTTATGGTAAAATAAATTTTTTTTTTTTTTTATAAACATTTACAACAATCAACTTTAAACGATTAACAAAATTGGTTAAATATGTCATTTTCCTTATTTTTAACTTATTAATAATCAAATTAATATTAAATATTATATCAAATCAGTATTAATTTAAAACAATTTTTTTTGTTCTTAATTATTTTTTTTTATATGTAAAAACTATTTTTTAATAATATTAAAACTTAGAAGTTATAGAAAAAGTCTAATTGCACATTTTAAAACATCGCGAAAAGTTGATTTAGAATAGTATATTTTTGTTTCTGATGGAAGTTCCTTGTAGTCCAGTGTATAAAACTTATAACTTTGTTAATTGTTATAACTTTATCAAAAATGACCAAATCAGTATATTTTTTTTTATTTAGATGCATGTCTTTATCTATCATTTGGTTTTTTTTATAAATCTAACCCTTTACCTGCCCACAAGAGGGATTCAAAATATTAACTTTTTTTTTTTTAGTTAAAGTAAATCATTAAAATTAATTCAGTTCTGGATATTTCAATAGTAGAATCTTTTTAAATATCAAAAATTACTTAGAAATGATTACTATGATTTCTATTTAAGTGTTCTATTACGATAAAAATGCAAAAAATAATGAGTTTTTCTGATAAATTTACAATAAATAATAATTATAAAACTTTCTGACTGCATATTAATCTTAAAAATAACATTGTTTTAATTCTCATAAAATTTTCTATTTAATGATTCATTCTAGTCAACGAAGGAGTAATTTTGCAGAATAGCAGAAAAAATTCCCAACAAACTTTTTTTTTTTTTGTTTTAATTAGGCAATTGGTGGATTATTCCAAAAGCAACATCAACTCTTATTTCTTTAATTATATCATGATTAGTAGTTCTTTGATTTTAAAATATAATATTTGAATATATACTAATTATAATTATTAAATTTAGTATGAAATTGATATTTAATATTGTAATTTAAACGGAGAAATTATAAAAATAATAAAGAAGTTATATTTTGCTTTACTTTTACGTGTATAAAAATTTAAAGGGCTTGATACAATAATTTTCAATAAAAACTGTTTGTTACTATAAAAAAATGCACTGGACTACAAGGAACTTTCATCAGAAGCAAAAATATACTTTTCTAAATCAACTTTTCGCGTTGTTTTCAAATCTGCAAGTAGACTATTTCTATCACTTCTAATTTTTTATATTATTACTAATTATATATATAAAATAATAATTAAAAGAAAAAAAAATTTGTTTTCAAATTATTACTGATTTGATTTTTAATATGTTAAAAATAATCAGTCCAAATTTTCAATTTTAACCTATTTTTTTGGTTCTTTAAAGTTGATGAAAAATTTTTGATAAAGATTTATGAAAGTTTATAGTAAAATAAATTGAATATATTACCATAACTTTTAGCTCAATTACAAGTTTAAAATTGACATCTAGGCCAGTCAACAAAGGAAAAATTGCGGAAAAAATTTTGTTTTTTTAAAAGTTGAATTAAAATATGTATAATGACATACTAATAGTCCTCAAGATTGGAATTGAGCTTTTTTTTTAAATCCTCGCAAAAGTTCAAAAATATGAGCTTTCTTAATTTTCTCAAAAAAAAATATTTAACTTACAAAAAAAAGTTTCGCACAAAAGTTGTTTAAAAGACAATTATAAATAAAAATATAATCTTATATTTTTTCATTTAAACAAATATTTTTCGAGTTACATTACATTTAATATGAGTAATAAAATTTATATTCCATTTTTTTCATTTTACGGTTACTTTTTATCATGTTATACTTACATTAGACACAATGTTATAAATGCATATGTGTGTATGTGTGAGTTTATTTATTTATTGTATCATTAAAGTGTAGTGTATATTGAGATACAACCGATAGAGTAGGTAATTGATTTGACGCTATATTATTTAAACCCAACTAAACGCTAAATTGTACATTCCGAAATAACAATCATATTATGTCAATTGCCACCGGAATATCTGGTAATATTTTTCTTTTTCTTTGCCTTAATCCCAACTACTTGGGGTCGGGCACCCTTATCCTAAGATTCCACTTGACACGATCTCCCACATCTTCTACGCTCACATCAGCTGTCCTCAAATCGCATTCAATAGCATCCCTCCATCTCTTTTTTGGTCTTCCTCTATCTCTTCTTCCTTCAACATTCATTTCTATAACTGTTCTTACAGCTTTCGATTCTTCTTTCCTCATACCATGACTAAACAATCTAAGTCTATTTTCTGTCATCTTATCCACGATTGACGCAACACCTATACTTCCTCTTATATGCTCGTTCCTTATCCTATCTTCTCTAGTCACTCCACTCATCCAACTAAGCATTCTCATCTCTGCTACACTTATTCTCTGCTCTACTTTCTTATCAACCGCCCAACACTATTAACCATACATCATAGCTGGCCTCACAATTTCATACTAAATTTAAAAACTATAATTAGTATTTATTCATATATTATATTTTAAAATCAAAGAACTACTAATCAGGATATAATTAAAGAAATAAGAGTTCATGTTGCTTTTAAAATATTTCACCAATTTCTCTAAAGGAAACACTATCTACAGATTTGCATCGAAGCGTTTCTTATGATAGTGATTTTAATCACTGTCAGATATCATCTATACTTATCTCATCTATGCCACGTCTATACTGTGCCTCGACCCCACTGTGCTACCGTTTTTTAAAATTAAACATTATCTAAATATTTGCATCGAAGCGTTTTTTTTTTATAGTGATTTTAATCACTGTCAGATATCATTATACTTGATCCATCTATGCCACGTCACCACTGTGCCGCGACCCCCCTGTGCTGGGTTTTTTTTTTAATATTAAAGTATATTACATAAGCTTTAATTTTAGATATATATAAAAGTGTCAGTATTTCCGGAACACTTTCAAAAGTTAATTTTTTGTGAAAAAGTTGTCATTATAAAACCCCCCCTGTGGGCAGGTCTAGGGTCAAATTTATAAAAAAAATATATCAAATGATAGGTAAAGACATTAAGCATCTAAAAAAAAAAATAATAATATTGATTTGTTCCTTTTTGAAAAAGTTATGGCAGTTTTAAGTAAAAAAATTTCGAAAATTAGTGATTTTTAAATTTGTAAATTTTTTCAATTTTTGAGGGTAATGTCTTCGACTAGATACGATTTGTGATCTTTTGACGTATCGTTGAAAGAAATCGGTTCGGTGAGAGCTGTGAAAAAGTGGTAACAAACACAAAAAAAAAAACACATCATAGTAAAATTAATACCTTCTTAGTTTCGCATCGAAGCTAAAATGTATTTAAAATCACTCACAAAAAGGTCCAAATACTGCAGCCCTCAAAAAGCAAATGATACATGACTTAATATTTTTCAGATCCTACCCCATTTACAATTATTTGGCATTTGATCCAATCGTAGGAATAGTATATTTGGCTTTTGTTTATTACTTGTACAAGTGAACAAGTACTAGTATACTTGTCAAGTATAGGAATGGAACAGTTTCAATGAATGTTAAAGGAAGAAGAGGTAGAGGAATACCAAAAAAGAGGAATTCGCTATTGAATGCAATATGAGGACAGCTAATGTGAGCGTAGATGATGTGGGAGATTGTGTTTAGTGGAAGTTTAGAATAAGGATGGCCGACCCCAAGTAGTTGGGATTAAGACGAGGAAGAAGAAGATTTAGCCCTTTCTTCTACAATCCACATGAAGTTAAAAAAAAATCTATTATTATATAAAATATATTTTAGGAGAGTAGAATACATATACTCAAACCGATTTTTAAAATTTTATTTGTCTATAATGTGAAAAAGTTAAATATCTTAATTTATAAAATTTCGCATGTAGTGCTCGAGCACTTAAAGTACTACTCGTGAACACGTCTATTCTATATATAAATTATTAATACGTGGCCAAAATACCCAAAGATAGAAAGAGTGTAAATCCCCTCAATACTCTGCAATTCATCATTATTTGAATATTATTTTTTATATTTGAAGAAATAATGTAGGTCTTTATGTTTGACAAATTTATTATAGATTTGAAGAAAAAAATATAATTATTCCCGTTCAATGAATTTAGTGACATTTGCACAAAGTCCTGTGCCAATGTGTAAATAAGATTTTTACGAGTATTGGTGATAGGGAAAGTGTTGTCTTATATCATATGTAATATTATACACAGTTAAAAATGTTCTTAGACAATATTTATCCTTTAAAATAATGCAAAATCTTTATCGTTCAAGAAATTGATTTCTATCGTTCTAGTTTTTTATACGTGTAGTTGAATGTATTGACGAAAATGGATGCGGCCTTAGCCTCCAAAAAATTTCTCCTTGGTACCGCCCCTTCGCGTTGGTACAAAACGTAACCATGAACAATTAAAGTTATATAATAACATATATTTTAAGCTATTATTTAAATTTTCAGAACTTATGTAATTTTGAAGTGATTTTGATATCAATTTTTATTATAAGATTCGATAACAGCATTAAACAATTTTTTTCTGTTATATCTAGAGTTGTTAAAATACGGTACTTTATTTTTTTGTTGTATAATATCGTATAATACTGTATAATACCGTATAAATCCTTGTGGTACCTTAAAATTTGGGAAAAAATAAACTTTAGAATGATTATTTTTCATAAAACTCAATAAATAAATGAGTACTTACTGAAAAAGCCTTTAGCAAAATTGATGAAAACAAAATGTTCAGGGAGTAATTAGTAAAAGTATTGAACTAAGATATTTCTCTACCCAGAATTCCTGCCTAGAGGATGATTTAGTATCAACTATAGTCAATTTGCAACCAGAAACCACCTAGATGTTAAAGGTCTGAGAACTCTGCTTTTTTAAACAAGTATAAATACACAATTGGAATTTTACCACATTAAAAACTTAAAATTTTTAATAACATAATAAATAAAATAATAAAACTCACTTTTTCTTAACAAAAAAAAATCCTATCCTTTAAATAAACTATTAAAAAATTAAAATATTGCATCTTACTATTAATCTTAAAATCGATAGTTGTATTAACATTTGTTACCTTAAAAAAAATAACTTAAGCACCTTATCGATTACAAATTTTAGTATCACAGAGTACTAAGAATTAATATTTATAAAGTATGAAATATTTTATAATCTTAATTTGTGTATGTCATGACATCATCAAATAGTTCATCTGTTTCATTCTCGTTTTTGCTTTGATGGACGACCCATCTTAGTTCGTAATTTGCAAATAATACTTTAAATTTAAATCACAAAACAAAATACTTTTATCACAGAATAGATTCACCTGTGCTGTGCTTTTATTTTCTTCCATTTGAACCGACATGCGTTGGGGCTTAAAATGTGACAAGATTATTGTGGTAATACTAAAAACATACTGAGATCACGGTTATACCGTAAACAAGTCCATTGCTTTTGTTTGTTATGATAACCATGTTTCCCTGGCGGATCTGACAACTAATTATGTTTTAAAAATATATCTGTTAATCTACAATAATAATCACGATTATAGATAGATTTAAATCTAATAATGCAATCCATCCATAACATTAATTACAATTGCGTGCATCAATTAAAATCAAATCCAAAAGAATATAAATGTTGATAAAGCTTTTTTTTTTTTGATACAGCGGTATAAAATAATTTTATACGCGTGTATTATACCTTATATCATACCGTATAATACCGACTCACATCTCTAGTTATATCAGATACCACTTTTCACACGCCTTATCAAGCATATCCGGCTATACATTATTTAACTTAATACTTCTCTGACGTTAAAGAATTTAAATTTATATTTAATTTAGAAAATTAGATTACATTATAATAACTTTTATCTGAATTAAGATAATATTTTTGCCATAATTATATTATTAGTAATAGTTCATTTCTTATCGAATATATATATTCTTTTATCGTTCAAGGTTTACCGAATAATTTTTATCGTAATTATTTTCCACTCAGCTACGCAATTTCTTTTAGTTTACCTTTGATCAATAAGTGTTTGATGAACAATAAATTAATAATGGCTTGATAACTTTGTTGATTATTTATCAGAAAATTAGTGTTTTGCATAAGTTTGAGTTGATCGAGTTGTATGAATATGTACAAATTCAAAATAGATTTAATTGTTAGAAAAAATTACAAATTATTGTTTTGTGCTAGATTTAAATATGGTCCACCCTCTAAACAAAGTAATTATTATGATCCAGATACTATTAATGAAAATCCATTGGAAAGGTGCAAAAGATTCATTAAGAGGGATTTTAATGAGTTAGTTTCTAAAATGAATGATCCATTTTCTCAATACAAAGATAATAAATTATTTCCCAAGACTGTAGACATACTTATTATTGGCGGAGGTGTCATTGGTTCATCAATTGCTTATTGGATTCAAGATAAATGTAGAGATGGAATTTCTATAGCTGTAGTGGAAAAAGATTTATCGGTAAAAAGTTCTATAATTTCTTCTGATGAGGTAGTATATTTTAATAACCTTTAATGAAGTATTATTATATAATATATATACTTTTTCTAGAAAAATAAAAGACTTAATGTCCATGTTAAATATTTTAATGTAATTGTTTTTTATTAGATCTTTAAAAGTAATAATATTAATTAAATATTAAAAAGATATGTTTTCTCAGTTATTTGAGTAATTTTGTTTTATTATATTATATGTTTGGTGTAGGATGTAGAACATAGTAATGGCTGATAAGCTATATAGCCAGGCTCCACTATTTGTTTATTTTCCGTTGGGAAAGCATGTAGAAAAAATGTTGATTATTTGTAAACTTATCCAAATAGATGATATTCCCATTCTTATTCCCATTATCCAACTATTCATATACCCATTAAAAACATTGATTCTTTTACTCGTATCACAAAAACTACCAACTAGACAAAAGAAAATGATAATTAAATAAAAAAAAAACTTTATTTTATATTGCACAAAAATACTATTCCCACTACTAAACAAATATTGATGATTACCAAATATTTGGTAAATAAATAAACAGTGGGAACTCATCTTAATGTTATTAACTATTATAGATTCATAGATGGACCATTAAAAAAAATATCATGTCTCAAAATCAAGAAGCGATGGAAACCATCACATTTCTTTTTTTTACATACACACTAGAACAAACTTTAATTTAAAGCTGACTGGTGTCAATCCAATCTCATGGTTTTTAACTGTATAATTTTATGTTATTTTAGTATTCCAAAGCTTCGTCAGCGCTTTCAGCTGGAGGAATCCGCCAGCAGTTTTCATTAAAAGAGAATGTTGAATTGTCTATGTACAGTGCTGAATTCCTTCGAAATATCAAAGATCACCTATCTATTCCTGAACATGAACCTCCTAATGTTAATTATAATCCATCGGGATACTTGTACTTAGCTACAGAAAAAGGGGCAAATACAATGTTAAAAAACCATGAAGTTCAAAAGTATTTTTCTGAAATCATTCTTAGTTATATTATATCATTTTTTAATTAATAATGTAATGTATAGAAAAGTTGGAGCCAAAGTTGAACTACTGTCACCTGAACAAATGAAAATTAGATTTCCTTGGTTAAATATAAATGGTATTGTTCTTGGTAGCCTTGGTACTTTAAATGAAGGATGGTAAGTTTTTATTTATCATGATTAAATTCTGAGTTATATTTATAAATGTTTAGGTTTGATGCCTGGTCATTACTGGATGCATTTCGTAAAAAAGCTAAATCACTTGGAACATATTATGTTGAAGGAGAAGTGATTGATTTTGGCTTTAAAATTGATACTAGTATTGTAGTTGAAGGTGATGAGAATAAAGAATATGAAGGAATTAATAGTGTTAAAGTATGTTTGAATTAAATATGAATAATATTATTATTCATCATAATTATATGTTCAAATATTAACAATGAATTATTTTCTAATTGCATATTAGAGTGGTCCTTAGTTATAGATGAAGAGAATTATTTATATTCTTACCCACTCTCCAATTGTTCATATGTATGTAAAAATTAAAAAAATTTCAGGTCAATCATTTTAACTCAAGGCTACTTAGAGTTGAAAATTAGATAAGAGTAGTTTTTTGACATTTGCATAACTCATAAAAGATCACTGGTAGAAAAAAAAACTTAAAATGTAAATTGTAGATATAAATGTTTTTTTATAAATTAAGTATTTACAGTTCTTTTGATAAATTCATTAGTTTATTTGAAAAATTATAAATACACAAAATACTGTTTAGTTTTCATAATAGAAATATTTACAGATTTTTCATCATATTTGACGAACACTTATAGTTGCATGTAGATTTTTCACATAAAAAACGTTTATAATTTAATTTTCTAAAAAATATGGGGCAGTGGATCATTCAATTGCTTCTGTAGCACTAATGTTTAGCTGCATTGTTTACTGTTGGTTCACGGTTGTGTGACCATACGGTAACTTTAACAGAGTTGCACACCTTGTACCATACTGGTTCTCTCAGCCATAATGAGGTTAGATCAGGTTAAAAGCTGATATCAAATTCCATCAAATCGTCATAGTCAAGATTATACAAATATTTGAGATAGAGGCTAAGGAGATGATGATGACCATATGTTTAACTGTTTGTGAAATATATTGACCTAAGTGTTTAAAAAAACTTTTTGAGATATTCTCTATAATTCACTGATTTATTTCCATATTAGCTTTGGTGCAAAGCTGTTGGTTTTACTATGATGCGTTTTTTTTTTTGTGAGTCTGTTACCACCTTTTCTCAGCTTTCACCAAACCGATTTCTTTCAATAATACGTCAAAAGATCACAAATCGTATCTAGTTGAAGACATTACCTTCAAAAATTGAAAAACATTTTCCTCATTCTCCGTAAATGGGAGAAATATCCAAAAAAATTACAAATTTAAAAATTGCTAATTTTTGACATTTTTTCAATTTTTTTAAAAATAATCAAATCAATATAATTCTTTTTTTTATAGATGCATGATGTCTTTACCTTTATAACTTATTTGGTATATTTTTTTTATGAATCTGACTTTTTACCTGTTCGAAGGGGGGGATTTAAAAAAACAACTTTTTTGACTTAATTTTTGAAAGTGTTACAGAAAGTCTGACACTTTTATATATATCTTAAATTAAAGCTAATGTAACATACTTTATTATGGAATAAAAAATTTCGGACTTTATTTTGTCTTCACGGTGAAAATGGCTACCAAATGCTATTTTTGTGTGAAAATTTTCGATTTTGTATTTTATATTTTTAACTTTATTATGCTATAACTTATTGAAAAGTGTATGGATCAACACAATTTTTTTATGAGAAATAATATTTGTATCCCTCTTTCAATCGACATACTTTATCTTAATCAGGATATAAATATGGAAATAACAGATCATGTAGCTTTTGGAGTAATCCATCAATTTTTTTAAATTAAACACTATCTAAAGATTTGTATCGAAGCGTTTTTTATGATAATGATTTTAATCTCTGTCAGATATCATTATACTTGACTCAACTATGCCACATCACCACTGTGCCACGATCCCCCTGTGTTTTATTATGTAATTATCAAATATATTGTTTAGTATAATTATTTTTTTAGGTAAAATTACCTAATGGTGAGTTACAACAAATGGTTTTTGGTTTGTGTATAATTGCTGCTGGAGCTGATTCAGGAAAAGTTGCCCAGTTGGCAAAATTAGGAAATGGGAAAGGATTTTTATCAACTCCTTTGCCTATAGAACCTCGGTGAGTCATTGTATTTTTGTATTATTTTAATATATAATACAATTATTATGTACATTAATTTGTTTAAGTATTAAGTTCCTATAATTTAACAAGGTGAATTGGTTTAGTTCTATTTAAAATTTTAATATTTTTTTAAAGAAAATAATTATTTATTTAATTTTCATAACTGTTGTTTTCAAGAAATTTCTATCAGTTTATAAAAAAAAGCTCTTAGAAAATTATGGATATTATAAATATTGTATGCAATAGTAAAGAAACTATTAAACAAAAATTATAAATTCATTAATCATTATTATCTTCTTAGCCTCTATCCCAAATATTTGGAGTTTGGCTCTGTTTTAACAATTTAATAGAATTTAATACTGGCTATCGTTTGGACGCAAACTTGTTATGGCTGAGCAAAAAATAATTTTTTATTAGCTTTTTTTTAGTTTAATTCAGATATTTTTAATTAGAGAAAGAATCACTGGTTTGGATTATAGAAAAATTGTAAACTCATAACCATGTTTAAGAATTGAACATTGGGCATTTAAATTACAAATATTTGATTTTGAAATTTTTTATAGACTAGGTAAAAATAGCTGATTCCCATCCAGATTAGGCAAATATAAAAATGGAAAAGTTGAAATTAATAAAAATTAAATCTATGTTCATTATATTAAATCTAAATCAATACTAAAGGCACTTAGTTGGGAAATAATTAAAGAAGAATCAAAATTAGATTGTGAGTTTGTAATGACTAAAATTTTTTAGAATCTGATGCCTTATGTTGTTGCATAAGTTGCATACACAATGTTATTAAATCAGTTCTGTATATGATCAAAACAATTACTTGAGATGGTACATTTATTTTTCAAGAGTGAAAGTTTTTATAAATAAAATTAATTAAAATAATAATATAGAATTTTATGATGTTATACATATCTTCTTTTTGGTCTAAAGCCAATGGAAAATGGAAAGGAAAATTTAGCCGATTTTGAAGTGATGAAAATCTGTTTAACAACAATTTAGAAATGGTTTTTAATGAAATAGCATATAAAGATAAAAAAAGAAATTCATGGGTTAAGAATATGATGATAAATAAGGTGAATTGATTTGAAATAAAATAAAATTAATAAACTTACACCGAATATAAGTGTACTTGTAGTAATAAGTAGTGAAGTTTTACTATTACTGTAGAGAGAAAGAGAGAGAGAGATGTGTCAAGTATACCAGGCATGATACATTTGCGAAAAAGTTAACAAACAGTAGGAAATAATATCCAAAAAAGTTGATGAATCTATTGATCACAAGCACAAATCAGAAAACCAAAAAAGGGTATTTAATTTACCAGAAAAATATAAAGACTGATATGAATTTAAATATTTAATTTTTATTAATTGAATTTTTTTATTATTTATGTAGTATGTTAAGTCAATTTGAATTTGATGTTACCGAAGGATATTAGGCAACACTGTATAATACTATTATTATTATTGTTATAATAAAACAGTTAGTTATTGTAATTTGTCTAATAGTCTATTCTATGAGTCTTGTTTATAAGTGTATCATAAAATACATATGCTATTTAACAAAAAGAAGTCAAGATGTGTAGGCTGTTATATATTAAAAAAAATGTTTTGATTATTAAAAATTATTAATGGACACTATTTTATTTATAACAAAGTAAAATAATAGTATAATTGTTATCAAATTACTTTTAGGAAGCGTTTTGTTTATTACTTTCATGCTCCAAAGGGACCTTCAATTGCTCCAATGGTTATTGATCCATCAGGTCTTTATTTTAGGTAAATATGAAATATTTTATACTTCATAAATGTATTAATATTTTGTTCAATTATAACAATTTTTTTTATAATCTAATCCATTAAAAATGATAAAAACCTTATTTTTTTACTACTATTCATAATTATCCTAAAGTTTTGTAAATAAATTAAAGCATGCTTATTAGTACTAAACCTAATATTTACACATATTGAGGGAATTTAACAAAATTATTCTTTTAATTACTTTATACATTAAGTTGACATGATCCACAATATAAACAATCTGGCATTTTATTTTCTAAAAATGTATTATTCTTTCAATTAGGCCTGATGGGTTTAACAACCATTATATTTGTGGTAAATCACCTGATGAAAATGATGAACCAGATACATCAAACTTGGATGTTGATCATGAATACTTTGAAAAAGAAATTTGGTCTCAACTTGCACACAGAGTTCCTGCATTTGAAGAAGCCAAAGTATGATGCAAACATATTATATTTAAGAATTTACGATTTTTGTATAATTAATTATAATTAACACTAAAAGAGACTATATAAAATCTTTATTTAGTCACAATCCCTATTCACTGAAAGTTATTTCTATCAATGACATAACACCCAGTTGAATAAATATATTACTGGTAAAAAATTCAAATTTTTTAAACTAAAATGGAGCATTAAAAAGCAAAAGGAAATAGCAACAAATCTACTACTCATCAGAAGAGCAAATATTAATTTGTATTTTCTGTTGAAGTAGTGAAAGAAATAATTTATCATTATTATTTTTAATTATATTATATTAATTATATTTAATATTATATCTAAAAACTATTGCTTGTACCAGAAATGATGGGAATACCGACATAGCTTTGTTCTACAGAATCTTATACTAGTAACTATGCACTGGGTACAATGCGTACCGACTGAGCTAGGTAGACTACTTATCTATTTAGAAGTTCAAATATTTTATCACAAAATAAAAATAAGAATAAAAGTGCTTGAGTGTTTATTTTATTTTGCCATTTATTAGTCAATATAAATGAAACTGAACAAATAAAAGAATTACTTGCAAAAGAAGATTATAGAATTTTTTTGTACTTTTTCAGGTAAAAAATAGTTGGGCAGGTTATTATGATTATAATTGGTATGATCAAAATGCTGTAATTGGGCCACACCCAAGTTATTTCAATTTATTTTTTGCAACAGGTTTTAGTGGACATGGTAAGGAATTATTATATATTAAATACATGAAGCTAAAATTTGTTACTTTTTTAATAGGTATTCAACAAGCACCTGCTGTAGGAAGAGCTATAATGGAAATGATTACAGAAAGTGGTTTTAATACCATAGATCTTACTAAATTTGGTTTTGGACGGCTGATTGCTGAAAAACCCTTGTATGAAGTTAATGTTATTTAATATTGTTTTTCTTTATGTTGTGACAACCCAAACTTAAGTCAATAAAACACAAATTTGAAAAAATGTATCATTAAATATATTTATTTGAGTTATATTTTCTTTTAAAAAAGGACCATTTTCGTTTATAAAATATTTTAAATAAAAAATAAAAAATCAATAATAAGTAAATAAGTACAATTGTATACTCTTGTGGCATGTGACAAGTTTCCACAGCATAAAAATCAGCTGTGAATTGTGCCTAAAATATACAAAAATAAATAAAGAGAAATGATATTTATAAAACTGAAACCTACTTACCAACATAAAACTAGGATTATATTTATTACGCCAATTAAATGATGGCAATGTGAATTCATGAACATAATTTTCGTGTATCATATGACATCCATGATGTGTATGTCCATTAAAAACCACTCTAGGTTTTAAAATTTCCAACAACTAATTAATTAAAAAATAGGAAACCATTATATTAATTTATATATAGTAAACCTATCAAACCTAACTAGTAGTAAAAATCTATAGTTTCTTCACACATAAGATTGTTCAAAACATACTTTTTTTGTTGCATCTTTTTTAAGGCAATCCCAACCTTCACGAAATATTTTAATTTTTTCTGCCATTGGAGCTGAATCAGGTTCATTGCAAGTCATATCATTAGTTCGATATAGTGGAAAATGCTAAAAAAAAAAAAGTCTTTTATCTTTATATTATAATTATATAATAATATAAAAGAAAAGTTTCTATTGGCTATTATATGCAAATATTTTAGCTGAATCGCATATTTTTTAATTTAATTAATACATATCCCTTTATTAAGCATAATATATATACATTAATCTTAAAAATTTAATGTTATAAGCTAATTAAAGAAACTACTCAAAACTTTTCTCAGAATTATTTATAAAATAGTTAAATTATTAACAAAAATAAAGAAAACTTTAAAGGGCCATCATTTTATAAGCATAGATGACATTAAAAGCGCATGGCTGAATAAGTTAAAGGCTATCCCAAAGATCGAGTTTTAGAATTATTTTGAGGATTGGAAAAAGTGTTCGCTCAAGTACATAATATCTAAAGGGGACTTTTTTGAAGGTGACAATATTAACATAGACGAATAAATAAATATTTTTTTCAAAAAAAAACCAAAATTTATATTATTTTCTGAACATACCTCGTATAGATGGTAAAATGAATAAAACTAAAAGTTAAATATTAAAATGAAGTAACAAAATTTATATACTTGTAATAATACAGGTTTACTGTAATTGCCTTCTATTAACATATTTTTTGAACAAGTTTTTTCTCTACTACATTTCATTCTTCCTATAATTAATTTAAAATATAAATATATATTTAATTACTTTTTGTAATTATATTATTTACTAGCAAGTTCTTTGAGTTTTTGTTCTGCTGTATAGCAAAAATAACAGCCATCCATTTCCATAGCCATACTATTAACAGTTACAAAGTGTACATTACGTTTGCTAATTAATGTTATAGATTCAGTATTAAATGCTTTGTTAAATCTCCTTTCTAGATATGGTGTCATTCTGTAATTAATTAAATTTTTCATACATTACAAAATTATTGTTTTTTAAATGTCTGTTTTTGTTTAAAAATAGTTTTAAATTTCATTAAGGTTAATTATTGTTGTCAATGGTGCTGCACTCTATATATATATATTGATTAATGCAAGACCTTACTAGAATTTCATGATCTCAAATTATTTAATACATATGTATTATAGTTAAAATTTTATTGTCAATAAAAGAAATGAAGTGACTTTAAAACAAGTTTCAATTCAATGCAATTTCTAACAAATTTTAGCGAAGTATCATTAGCATGGTTGCTAATGATAAAATTCTTAATTAAGGTAAAAATAATAATCATATACCTAGGCATAAAGAAAAAAATTTTTTTAATAAGGCTAAATATCATTTTCCTACTTAAATAATAAATTTTTATAAAATATGTATGACTTTTATACATTTTTTAAGAAGAGGGCTAATTTCTAAAGTTTAATTTTGTGATTGAACTTATAACAAAGAAAGTGATATGAATCTAAAGATAGTGTATGTGTGACAATAAATTTTAAATGTTTTGATTATTTAATGATAAGGATGTCATTCGCAAATTATGTAGTATACATTCATTTATATACCTAAATTATATATTAATTTAGCTCATAAGGTAGAGTTTAACTCAACTCAGCATCGAAATAAGAAATTCAAAGAGACTGTGCATATAGTATAATGTAATATAGTAGCCTTTACTATATTTATGAGGACAAAAATAAAAAAATTGAAATGACACCCCTATTTAATTACTATTAACAAAATTTGAACATTTTTATTCCATAAATTTTTAAAACAATTTTTCAGATTTTGATTAACTCTACCTTTAGTGCTTCACATTAAATCTAAAAAAAAATTATATATACATTTTTCACCTGTAATGAAAACCAATATCATGATTACCTACAACAACATATAGTTTGGTTGGTTCAATTATTGAAAAAATATCATTAAATGTTTTGACATAGGTGTTAAAGTCAGTTTCACTACTCCATAGTCCTTCATCAAATAAATCACCTTTAAAATAATATAAAAATAAATAATTTAATTTAAATTATATGGTAATATGTCAATTCTAGGTTTAAGGATGATTAAAAAAGGAAAGAAAGAAGGTTAAGCATAAACAGGAAAACATATATAGGATTTATCGATCTAGAAAAAGTATTTGACACCGTAAATTGCAAGATTTTGATGAAAAATGGCATAGACTTAAGAGATAGAACAAACATCATATAGTTTTATAAAAATTAAGAAACAACAATTAAAATAGGAGACTGTATATTTACAGCTAAAATGCGTAGAGGTGCAAGACAAGGATTTTTCTTGACACCATACTTATTTAATTTATTCATAGAAAGTTTTTAAGTAATTCAAAGCAAAAGCTAAAGGTGTAAAAATAAATGAAAAAATATAGATAATAAAATTTTCTGAAGACATTACAATGGCATCATAGAAAAATGACTACATTTAATGATATCTTAAATAGATACCTTATGTGGAACAATATAAATAAAATGAAAGACATTTTAGTAAATAAAGGGAGCAGAGTCCCTATTGTTAAGATATAATTAAATAATCAAATAATTAACCAGGTTTAACAATATAAATGTTTACAAAGTACACTAATCAGTAACAATAGATGTTCGTTAGAAGTTAGACATCGAATAAAGATAATAAAAAGAACTACTGACAAACAATAATCTAAGTAAAATATACATTTATTTATTATAATTTATTGCAAAATAGTAATTTATTAGTGCAATATATAATATCAAATCACTGTTTATAATATAGCATATAACAGAAAGAAAAAGTAAATAAGTATTTATATATATACAGGTTAATTTTTTAATGCTAGCCACTCAATTTTTCTAAAAATAATTAAATTTCTTCTTTTTGAGTTTTTAGTATCTGCATTTATCTGTTATAAAAATTTTTTAGATCTATCACTAATGTCTTATTACATAAGATAGTTAATTAAATATTAAATATGACATAAGGGATGGACTTAAGTTATTTTATAATAGGAAAGATAAGATACATATTTTTCTAGTAAATAGTTGTATTAGTTTTCTTTCGTAATTTTATCGTTTAGAGTTTAACTTAAAAAGAAAAAAATAAATATTACCTAGAACAAAAACTAGTTCTGGATTATGCAGTGAAATGGCAGTTTGGAAAGCTCTTTTCATTTCCCATTCTCTAAAATATTATCACTATAAATTAAAATTTTGATTATCAATAGAGTAACATCACTAGTAAATGAATAGTTAAAGATTATATAATATTTTAAAGTTCTTCATTAATTTTTGTTTAATGCACCGCTCATAAAGTTAATACTTATTTTGTCTGTGTAGTATCAATAAAAACAATGAATTTTTTAAAACAATTTTATCCAATTATTTTTGTTGATTTTTTTTTTAAATAAAAATTTTTAAAATAAAGTTATAAAACTTTATAGAAACTTAAACTATAATTATGATAAAACTTCTAACTCTAAGAGTTCTATCATTGAAACATTCAATTCTGAAAAAAAAAAACTAAATAATTCAGTTTAAAAAAACCCAGCACAGGGGGGTCGCGGCACAGTATAGACGTGGCATAGATGAGATAAGTATAATGATATCTGACAGTGATTAAAATCACTATAAAAAAAAAACGCTTCGATGCAAATCTTTAGATACTGTTTAATTTTAAAAAATTGGTGGACTATTCCAAAAGCTACATGATCTGCTAGTTCATTATTAATATCATAATTAAGATAAAGTATGTCGAATGAAAAAGGGATTATTAAAAAATATTATTTCTCATAAAAAAATAATGTTGATCCATACACTTTTCAATATGTCATAGCATTATAAAGTTAAAAATGTAAAAAATAAAATCGAGAATTTTCACACAATAATAGCATTCGGTAGCCATTTTCACCGTGAAGATAAAATAAAGTCCGAAATTTTTTTTTCGCATAATAAAGTAAATTACATTAGCTTTAATTTAAGATATATATAAAAGTGTCAGACTTTCCGGAACACTTTCAAAATTTAAGTTGAAAAAGTTAATTTTTTGTGAAAAAGTTGTCATTTTAAATCCCCCCCTGTGGGCAGGTAAAGGGTCAGATATAAAAAAAATATATACCAAATGATAGGTAAAGACATCATGCATCTATAAAAAAAAAATTATATTGATCCATACATCTTTCAAAAAGTTATAGCATTATAAAGTTAAAAATATAAAAAAGAATTTTTTTACAAAAATCGTATTTTTTTTATAAACTTTGATGTCTGTTTTCACCATGAAGATAAAATAAAGTCCGAAATTTTTTTTTTCCATAATAAAGTATATTACATTAGCTTTAATTTAAGATATATATAAAAATTTCAGACTTTCCGGAACACTTTAAAAAATTAAGTTGAAAAAGTAAATTTTTTGTGAAAAAGTTGTCATTTTGAATCCCCCCCTGTAGGCAAGTAAAGGGTCACATATAGAAAAAAAAATATACCAAATGATAGGTAAAGACATCATGCATCTATAAAAAAAAGAATTATATTGATCCATACATCTTTCAAAAAGTTATAGTATTATAAAGTTAAAAATATAAAAAAGAATTTTTTTACAAAAATCGTATTTTTTTTATAAACTTTGATATCTGTTTTAACCATGAAGATAAAATTAAGTCCGAAATTTTTTTATTGCATAATAAAGAACATTACATTAGCTTTAATTTAAGATATATATAAAAGTGTCAGACTTTCCGGAACACTTTCAAAATTTAAGTTGAAAAAGTCAATTTTTTGTGAAAAAGTTGTCATTTTGAATCCCCCCCTGTAGGCAGGTAAAAAGTCAGATNTATTTACAGCATATATCAAATATAACATTTGACAGACTCTCTCCTCTTTTACTTCTTCTTCTTCTTCCTCGCCTTAACCCCAACTACTTGGGGTCGGCCATCCTTATCCCAAACTTCCACTTGACACAATCTCCTACATCCTCTACGCTCATATTAGCTGTCCTCATATCGCATTCAATAGCGAATTCCTCTTTATTGGTCTTCCTCTACCTCTTCTTCCTTCAACATTCATTTCTATAACTGTCCTTACAGTTTTCGAATTTTCTCTCCTCATAACATGACCAAACCATCTAAGTAACTTTTAGTAACACTAATAAAAACATTATACCTCTTTACAATTAAACACTCCTGGCTCACGAAAAATCATTTAATAAAATAAAAAGATCCCACACCTTGTATTATATGTGAAACTGAAAATTTGGTCAAACATATTACACTGGAATGCCACAAATATGACACTGAAAGGAACAACCAGATACTTCCCACAAGTCTATAATTATAAATAATAATTAATTTTCAATAAACTCTACCCAAATAACACCTCTGCACTAGTAGTTTAAACTAGTTATAATTTGTGATCTTTTGGCAAGAAAAGTAGGTCCAGCAGGATTTGGTCCATTTAAATACCGATAACAAAAATCTTCTTAGTTGTGCATTGAAGTTAAAAGTATAAATATACCAATCAATTAATAGATAAAAAATTTAAATTTTGAACAATTTTCATATTTCTGATAAAAATTCCTTAAATTTTATAAAATTCAAAAATGTACCATAAATTATAAAGTATACAAAAAAAATTTACTCTATAACTAAATAGACACTTTAATTTATTATTATTAATTAATTATATAAAACCCACTAAAAATGTTAAAAATAATGACTTGTAGGTTGAATAAAACAAATGTGTATTACCTTCTTAATTTATCAAACCAATGTCCATTTTTAGTTCCTAATAAGTGTGCATCAGCCAAAAACATCACTTTAACTGGTTGATCTAAATTCATATCCTTAACCAAAGGCCATTTGCACTAAATAAAATAATAAATCATATTACGATTATCTAATTAAAACCAATTCAACTAATCAAAACTTTCACAGTTCAAAAAAATAAATTTTTTTTTAACTTTGATCTATGGATGCAATACATTTGGATAGTAGAATTATTATTGTCTATATAATATATATATATATATATATATATATATATATATATATATATTATATAGACAATAATTATATAGACAATAATCACTATTTATAAAATAATTTCAAAATAACAGCTATGATTCCAAGAATAATATATATAACTTAAGAGTTGATTACAAAGAGGAATCTGAAAAATTGTTTCTTTATGAATTTTATTAGTTATTGTTAATTTGTTTTATTTTGTACTTTCGGGTTTTCTTATAATTAATCAAATCAATGTACTATTTTGAAATTTCAGTCATGGCTAAGAAAGTAGGAATTAGGAACAATAAAACAATAAAAATATAAACATTAAATATTAGTTTTGTTTAATAAATCAAATATTTTTATAACTTGTAGGTCCTAATAAAATACTACATTAAATAAAAATAAAAATAATATTAGGTCTTGTAACATCTTTATGTATTTATATAAACAATTTTTTAATACCTCTCTAAATTATTATAATAATAATAAATTAATTATTATATAATAATTCTAATACAATATTTAATATTTTTTTGTTACAGGAAAAGCTTGACCACAGAACTATTAACTAAGAACAGTGCTACCACACCATCTTGCCCTAGGCCCTAGGGGATGATATAGAGTAAGAAGAAAAAAATGTTTTGTACAATATCACTACATTGTAATATAGTTAATGAGAGAGAAAAAACATAGAATGAGCAGTACTATTTTTCTATCCTCTCAAAACATTTTGTCTCCAGTTTATCACTCTTAGCACTGTCCAATAGATCAATAAGCTTAATCCACTATACAATTATACAATAATAAACAAACCCTTATTTAGATCAAATGGTGTAAAATAAAAATTATTATTATTTATAAGTAGTAGTTGGATATAAAAAGGTGGAAAATCACTTCATTAAAGGCAAAAATATTTCTAAAATGCTCTCTTATCACTTATACAATCTATATTCATATCCTTCTTCTCTATCAGTCAAAAATTAAAGTATTAAAATTTTTTTAGTAACACTAATCTTCTTCCTCGCCTTAATCCCAACTATTTGGGATCGGCCACCCTTATCCCAAACTTCTACTTGACACAATCTCCCACATCCTCTACACTCACATTAGCTGTCCTCATATCGCATTCAATAGCGAATTCCTCTTTATTGGTCTTCCTCTACCTCTTCTTCCTTCAACATTCATTTCTATAATTGTCCTTACAGTTTTCGATTGTTCTCTCCTCATAACATGACCAATCCATCTAAGTAATTTTTAGTAACACTAATAAAAACATTATACCTCTTTACAATTAAACACTCCTGGCTCACGAAAAATCATTTAATAAAATAAAAAGATCCCACACCTTGTATTATATGTGAAACTGAAAATTTGGTCAAACATATTACACTGGAATGCCACAAATATGACACTGAAAGGAACAACCAGATACTTCCCACAAGTCTATAAGATAATTGAGGAAACCAACCTTATAACAAGATTTATAAACAAGTCATCCAAAGAGAGGAAAGAAAGTATTTAAGTGAAATATTATAATATAACAATCTATTTTTAGTTTTAAAGATAAATCTCTAAAAAATATATGTATATATATACTCTGTGATTAACTTATAATGCCAATTAATTAATTGAAAAAATAAAAATAATATTAATAATTTTTTTATTTGTTTTTTTTTAGTTCTATGTTTTTCTTAATTTTTCAATCATAATGTTTATATTATGTTCATTCCTTATACTTATGAGTATAATTTTAACTATTTTTCAAATAGCAATATATAATTAACTAGCTTATTTATTAGATAATGATCTAATTAAGAAAATGATAGTTTTTGGACCATTATGTTGGAAATTATGACACATTTATAACCAGATTGGAGAGAGGGGGGAAGAGTACGACTAGGAAATCTCTAATTATAAAAACACTAGCACACACTCTTCATTTCTAGTCATTATTTTAAATTGTTTATAACTTCCAGTTTTTTTTTTAATCAGATCATTATCGAATAATTAAGCTAGTTAATTATGATGAACATAAATTTTTTTTTACAATTGATACATTGAGAAAAACTCTTATATATAATAACTATTGTATATTTTAATTAATTTGGACCATGACTTCAGCATTTGAGGACTTAAGTTATAATAAAAAATGTATAAATATTTAAGATAGAACAATTCTTACTTGAAATAATACAACATAATATATACCAAATTCGCAGTAAAAAATAATAAGAGATAATATAATAAATGATTTAATAAAACTGTTCATTATTTTTTATTATTATAAATAAACATTAATTATAAGTAATCACAAAAAGCACATAATAAGTGAAATTAATATTGTTTAATAGTACTTTTATATATATATTTCAATTATTCTATTAATTATATTCAAATCGTAATCATAGACAAGTATACTATGATCGTAATCATTGTTAGACCACAACATGGATAAGATCTTATCTATTCTGTAGTTTATATAAAAATAGGAGGCCGTGTATGAATATTATCTTTTAATTATTATCTAAGTTCGTCAATTATTGAATGCCGTGTGTGAGTAACATTAATACGTTATCATAAATATTCAAGTTATTTAGTTTGTAACTGTTAAATTTTTAAAAATTGCTATGGATTTTAACGATGATCCTTTTGATTTTGCATCACAATTTCGAAGTTAGTAAACGTCATATTAAATTTTATTATACGGAAATAAGGGTTGGAATATTTTGTCGATAAAAATTAACCAAAATCAACCAGTAACTTATTTGATACTATAATTTTATCTATTCTTATTAATTTACTTTTATAGTAATAGGTATTATTTTTTAAGCAATTTTTATTTTAGTATATGGTTAAATAATTTAGCTTTGTAAGAAAAATCAGTATTTAATGTAGTCTAATTATAGAAAAATACTTAAGTAGTGTAAAACTTCATATGAACTTGTAATACTTTTGCTTGAAACACAAATTTACCTAGTATATTATTATTATACTTAGCTATAAAAATATAACTGTTTCTTATTGTGTAAAAAAATGAAACAGTATCAAATTAAACTAGATTTCTTTAGGTTTATTATAATTAGATTGAATTATTAGTATTATTGTCATATATTAAACTTTCACTAGACTAACAAAATACCACCAAAAATATGTATCTATTTTCTAAAATAGTGAACTTTATATATTTTTCCCTAATCATTTATTATATTAATTTTCAGCTAGTTGTATAAAGTAAATAATTACTTTATAAAGTTCTTTTAATTAAAAATTAACATAATTGGTTTTGGTTTTAATATCAATAAATTTTATAATATTAATTATTGACATATATAATGACATAACTAAAAAAAACAAAATCTTTGTAATTCTTTTTTTTATTTATGTTTAATCCCTATCAACTTCTCTTAAAAGCTACTTCTCGTGACTAAGGGAATTTACAATTCTATGTAGCACAGCACATTACTAACTGAGCTAGGTATCTGAAACCACATAACTAGCTGAGCTTTAATTATTTCTGTATACATTTATTTATTTTATTTTTTATCTTTAATTATTATTTTGTTTTAATGTATATCAATTATTTAATTTTAAATAATTTAACCCAAATTAAAATTTTCCATAAATCTGGAAGTAGACAAAATTAGGGTAGTAACAATCTTACCTTGGCTATTTTTTAAAGTGAATAGTAAATATGGAAACTAACTATTTCTTTAAATTAATATTTAATTTACTTTCACAATCAGATTTAATAATTAGTAATTTTTAAATACAAGAAATGATGATCAGTTCAATAGATTTGTTTAAGATTATCAGTTTAGAAATAATAAACAAACAATTATCAAAAACTTTATCATTAAAAAAAATAATAATAACTTCATTATTTTTTTTTTAATGATATTGTTTGGCGTGAAAAACTTCCTATTTATAAAAAATTAAAAAATAGAAAAATATTGATATCCGTAGAATCGGATAAAAATACTGTATCTTACAATACATATTTGATTTTTTACACATAAAAGCTTTTTCATGATAAGTGACAAAATGTATTTATTGTTTTGTAGAATTGTTAATGTACATTTTATATTTTAATATTTATTGTTATTTTTTAATGAAATATTAGAGTTACAAACAGAACATAATAAGAAAAAAGTCTTGTCAACTATTGATTCTAATATAAGTAAAAAAGACTCATCTAGTATTTTACCAGTAAAGAAACCAGTACCTCAGATTATTCTTGATGAGTAATAATATAATTTTTTTTTAATATGTGTTTCTTATAAAAAACATTTTTTTAGTCAAGAATTAGTGCCAAGTGCAAGTATTAATGACCCTGAATGTCCAGATATTCAATATAATAAAGTTCAACTAAGAAACAAGTATATTTTATTTGTAATTATTCTAAGTCACATTAAGTAACTTCACTAATTTATTGCTATTTTAATACTATGTAGGAGAAAAAATGATTCTCAATCCAGCCAAAAGATTAATGGACCCATTATATGCATTGGCGACTTTGATGATGGTTATAATATACCTTCACCAAAAATGCCCAGAGTAATCACCCTCGATGAAGAAAACATTGTATGAATTGTGTTTCTATAACTTTAATTAAAAATATATATTTGTGGAGTTATTATTTGTATTTTGTTAGAAATGAATATTTTATTAGTTATGGACTAATTTATTTAGATACAAGTTATAAATACAAAATGAGATTTTTTATTTTCTTATAAAACATGATTTAACAGTATTGTAATTTTAGATGCTTTTATAACATTAATGATTTGATTTCAAAGATTGAATTTTATTTTTCAGAAAATTTTTGATTATGAAAAAAAATTTATATAAAAAGGTGTTTTCATAAAAGTATTGTTGAAAACACATAGTAAAAATACTTCTTTTGATTTATCAGTAAATTAATGTTAAACATTTTGACATTCTTAAATTGATATACAAATAGTTAATGGTTATTGAAAATTTTTTAAATAAGGGCTAGATTGAAAAAGAACAATACTGGGAATTTATTACATAATAAATGGCTCCATTTACTCAATTTAAAAAATAATTTCATTCATCCCTCTTGTGATAAAGTCATGAATGAAAGATTTATATTTTGTGTAATTGCTATACAATTTTTATTATCCATTAATTATAATTTAAAATTTTTTTATTACAAAATGTTTTATATTTTTAAATTTAGGTAGTTGATGAGAAAAATTTTCAAGATAGTGAAGATTCTTTTGATGTTATCAATCGAATCGTAAATGTTAAAGTATTTTGGCGTAAAATACGTACCTACCGATTTCCTATAAGAATGGTAAATAAAAATTATTTAAATTCTTATGGATTTTATCAGTAATAATTATTTAATTATACAGTTTCAGTCTTTTGAAAGTATATACCAACATTTTGCGGAATTAGAAAATATTAACAAATCTCATGTATATTTAGAATTAAATAAGAAACCAGTGTCATCAAGTGATACACCTAATTCAATTAATTACAAAATAACAGATTTTATTGGTAATGATTTGTAATGTAAATTTGATCTCGATAAGTATTTTTTTGAAATAAATATTATTAAAGTATTTATTTTATTTAAACACAAATTATGGGTTTTCCGCAGAAAAGTTCTTTTTATGTAGCATAAGAATATTAATTCTTGTTGGTATGCTCTATGTGAACACCATAGCTTTTCTTCTTTTTTAAAAATACTATTATTTTAACAGAAATTGAATTTATTATTTAAAAAACTGTTATATATTATAAGTAAATAAATATTAAATCTTCTAACTTTTTTAATACAAGAATTATATTTTTTTTAACAAAATGATGATAAACGTGTAAAAAATAATAAAAAATATTTTTATATCAAAAAATAAAACATAATTACATACAGGTGATTCACTTAATGAATTACTTAATTAATCAAAAAAAAAAAAAAACATTAATATTTTTTAGTTCAATGTAGTATTTCTTAATTTTTCAATCATAAAGTTTATTTTATGTTCATCCCTTATACCTTTTTAGGGTGTCAACTTTAATTTTTCAAATAGCAATACATAATTAATTAACTTATTTATTAGATAATGATCTAATTAAAAAAAGGACTGGTCAATAACAACTTTTGGACTAATATTTCGGTAGTCATTAATAATGTATAGTAATAACTGGAAGTGAAGAGCGAGTGCTGCTGTTTTATAACAAGAGAACATAAAATAATTGTATGATTGAAAAATTAAGAGAAACATTGAACTAAAAGAAACAAATAAAAAAAACTCAGCACAGTAGTGACATGGCATAGTTGGATCAAGTATAATGATATCTGACAGTGATTAAAATCACTATCAAAAAAAAACGCTTCGATGCAAATCTTTAGATAGTGTTTAATTTTAAAAAATTGGTGGATTATTCCAAAAGCTACATGATCTGCTAGTTCATTATTAATATCCTAATTAAGATAAAGTATATCGAATGAAAAAGGGATTATTAAAAAATATTATTTCTCATAAAAAAATAATGTTGATCCATACACTTTTCAATATGTCATAGCATTATAAAGTTAAAAATGTAAAACATAAAATCGAGAATTTTCACACAATAATAGCATTCGGTAGCCATTTTCACCGTGAAGAATAAATAAAGTACGAAATTTTTTTTTTGTATAATAAAGAACATTACATTAGCTTTAATTTAAGATATATATAAAAGTTTCAGACCTTCCGGAACATTTTCAAAAGTTATATTGAAAAAGTTAACTTTTTGTGAAAAAGTTGTCATTTTAAATCCCCCCTTGTGGGCAGGTTAAGGGTTAAATTTATGAAAAAAATATACAAAATGAAAGGTAATGATATTATGCATCTATATAAAAAAGAATTATATTGATATGTTTATTTTTGAAAAAGTAATGGCACTTTTAAGTAAAAAAAATTTCGAAAATTAGCAATTTTTAAATGCGTAATTTTTTTGGAGGTTTCCCCCATTTACGGGGAACGAGGGAATTTTTTCAATTTTTATCGGTAATGTCTTCGACTAGATACAATTTGTGATCTTTTGACGTATTATTGAAAGAAATCGGTTCGGTGAGAGCTGAGAAAAAGTGGTAACAGACACAAAAAAAAAAAAACACATCTTAGTAAAACCAATACCTTCTCAGCTTCGCATCGAAGCTAAAATTATTAATATTATTTCTTCGATTAATTAAGTGGTATTATAAGTGAATCACTCTGTGTATATATATATATATTTAAAATAGCCAAATGACTATTAATTTAAAATAAAATTTTCTTTATAATTGTATTTTAGAATAAATCTATATAAAACATTTTATTAAACTATCATTAAGAATACACATGTGTAAAGTTACACTTCCAGTGAAGTGGTTCCTTAACCTAATTTAAAACTAAGTCATTAGGTTTATGGCTTTTTAGATGTACGATATCTTCAGAATTGTCCAAAAATTAAATGGTTGCTTTGTTAATGTGGTTTGTTAATCTCATCTCATGTTTGTGGGAAAATTTATTTATTTTTTGCGCAAGTGTTTGCAAATGGTGTCATTATAATGTCATTTCTATCGTACCAATAAACTACGAAGTTGGTACAGAGTACAACATTCAGACATCATTGAATAACATCAATGTTGGACTACTAATACAATTCCGCAGTAGTATATTGTAAATCTAAATTGTTTTTATAATTGCCACATAAAATAGACCATTTTTATTTAATGAAATTTTGGAATGTTCCCCATACAAACAGTATAAATTGTTCAATTATTAGTTTTGTTTGCATACTTTTCTGTCATAGCTTTAAATTAAGATGTGAATCAAAATATTTCACCAATTATTTATGAGGAATAATTTATTGATTCAGTTTAATAGGAATGTTATTGGTATTTCTTAGCGTATAATTGGCATGTATTAATTTGTCATTATTTTAATTTTACAATGTCAAAGATTATGTTATTAATCAAGTTTTCTTGATTGAAGTTTTCAGGCTTCAACCATAGAAATTATATTATTAAAAGAGGAATATCATTTACTTCTACACTTGTAGTGCACTTTTTTAGAATTATTATTAGGGGATTTTATTTATGGAATATGTTGCTTTTAATGTTACTTATTTTATGATAAAAATTTTTGTATAACTACAGTATAAGTTAATACTATTTTAGTATATTTTATTTATAGATGGTGAAATAGAATTTTATAAAAGCTTGGATGAGAGATCTACTATTAAATATAATGAAGAACTATCAGAAAATGAAGTACAATTTAGAGTTATGCAGAAAGATGTAAAACATCCGATATTTTTAAGTATGAAAAAGGTTGAAACGATGGTTATATTATATATTAAACTATCTGAAAAGCTAGGCCTAGATATGGATTCATTCACATTAGAATTTGATGGCGAAAAGATTAAAAAAACTGATACTATGGATAGTTTAGAACTTGATGGTGGTGAGTGTTTTGAACTTTATAAAAAAAACTGAAAATACTAAAATATTACTATTAAAAATTAAAAGTATATAATTTATTTTAATTATTTAACAACTATTATGTAAAAAAATGTATGAGCTCTTAATAATTAAAAATTTATTAATATTTAAGTGTTTTGTTTTTTATCTTTATAATTTAAAAAAAAAAAATAGAGCATTTTTTTTATGTTAAAATCTAAAACATATTTTAACCTTTAATTAAATATAACGTGGAAAGAAACTTGATCAAATCTTTATATTCAACATGTGTAATACTTGAGATATGTTAAATTCTGATTTTTCTTTAATATTCAAGTGACAATTTATTTTTAATATTTAACAATGAAAATAAATTAGCTTAATAATATTATCTAAATTGTAGTCTTAACCAACTTTCAATATGTTTTTAATCGACTTGTATAATTATATATCGATAATTAATAATCATTGTATAAATTAATTTTACTATTTGTTAAGGTTTAAAATTAATAAATTTTTATTCTCTAAACACCTACTTTTATAGTAGCTTTGTTTTAATAAATTAACAAAGCTGTTGATTTTATTTGGTGTTTTTTAATTTGTAAAAAATTTCATTTTTTTTAGTTTTAGTTTTTATCGAGGTGGACATAATGCCCATGCACTCAGACCTGTTGGTCCATTGTGCGCACTTCATACCGAGTTGTCTTGATTCGGTTTACCCACCTAAGTATTATCACCGAAGTGTTATTATATTATACTTATCATTGTATAAGAGTGGATCATCGAGTTACCCCTATGGATGACCAAAGAGTCCTGTCTTTCCGGCGAATTTAAGTATCTCTCTGGGTCTTAGGTTTTTTTATATCTATTTCAGGAAAAAGTTTACTCAGGTAGTTTGATCTTAGTGTAGACAAGGCTTCACATTCACACATAATGTGAAATGAGTCTTCTTCTTCTACTCCACATTTCCTGCACAATGGTGATTCCGATACCCTCATTGCATAAAGATGTATAAGCAATTGACTATGTTCTGTCAGTAGACCTGTTAAAGTGCTTATTTAATGTCTAGTCATGCTATTAAGATCACACAGAAATAGACCGGGGTTCTTGATAAACATTTTGGATTGTCTAGGTACTACCAAGTACTTCCTGTGTTATTCTCTGCTCTAATTCTTGGGTAGTGCTTTGAGCAATTGCTCAGTGAGTCCTACTACTGGTTCTGGTCCAACATAGGTGTTCTCTGCTCCTTTCCTGGCTAGAAAGTCAGCATTCTCATTTCCAGTGACACCGTTGTGTCCCGGTACCCACGCTAGTGTAACTTTGTTGAACCTCGATAGTCATTCTAAAGTTTCCCTGCATTCGAGGACAAGCTTTGAATACACCTGGTCATTATAGAGTGCTTTCAAAGCAGCTTGACTGTCACTTAAGATAGTTATCTTCTTATTCTTGTATACTAGCAGATTCTGAGCCCCTACCAGTATCGCCATCACCTCTGCCTGGAAAACCGAGGGTGTTGTGCCCAATGACATGCTGACATTTATTCCTGGCTTTAGACCCCAAATGTCAGCACCTACCTTTCCTGATTTTTTGGATACATCTGTATATATTACAAATCCTCATTTTTCAGTCAGGTGTTTAATATTCCATTCTCTACGTGTAGTGATTTCCACTTTGTAGGGAATGTTATTCTTAAGGACCGGTTTGATATAGTCCAAGGGGTATTCCAAAAAGCCAGGGTCTATTTCTTTTATTATTTTACCGTGTTCTGCTGTGTCACTCTCCAAAATCCAAGTACCTAAGTTGTGGAATCTTAGTGCTGTGGCTTTGGCGTGAGCTTTAACCTCTAGATGCAGAGGAGGCAATCCGATTAGTGCCTCTAATGTGACCATTGGTGTAGTTCTTAATGTTCCAGTAATGACTATGGCGGCCATTCTCTGTATGCGACTAAGTTCTTAAGTTGTATCAGTAGATTTCCCCGTTTGATACGCATGTTGGTTTTCATGTATAGGGTTCTCCTTTATAGGCACCTCCTTGATGTACCTATCAATAAGTTTCTCCATAGTCTTAAGAAGAAATGAAGTAAGACTTATTGGCCTGTAGGATTTTGCTTCATAATAGTTAGTTCGGTTAGGTTTGGGTATAAACACCACCCTGACCTTACGCCAACTTTACGGTTGATAACCATAGGCGAGGCGTGCCCTAAATATTTTGCAGAGATGGGGAACAATTAACTCTAACCCTTCTTACAGACGTACAGGGAAAATTTCGTTACAGACGGCAGGTTTGAAATTGCCAAAGACACTAATTGCCCATCTTATTCCACTTATGGTTATCACTTTCCTGATTAGTTTCCAATCAGCACAGGTCACCTGATTGTCTTGTGTATCATTTGACTGTTCTCTATTATTAATTACAGAGTCAGGAAAATGTGTATTCATCAAATATGATAATGTTTCATTATCGTTATTGGTGAACATGCTGTCTGGCAGTAGTATTGCCTCGACAGTTTTGTTTGGTCCATTTTTTAGTGATTGCAGAAGTCTAGTTGCTATAGAGAGTTGTTGTATATCCCTACAGAACTTCTTCCAGCTTTCTCTTTTGGACTTTTTCAATGGAGATTTTGTGGTTTCTTTGGGCGTCCTTATAGGATTCCCAGTGTTGTTCCAAACCTGATTTCATTGCTTTATTTAAGATCTTACGTGAACTCTTTCTTAATTTAGACAGGTTAGCATTCCACCAAGTTACACCCTGTCCTGTACCTTTCCTTTCTATTAAAGGACAGTTTTCTTTGTAAGCCGAGACAATGGAGTCCTGTAGTATATTTACAGCCCTTTCAGTACTCTGTCTCGACCCCAATCTAAACTGTAGGTTATTCAGATAACGAGAAAGATCTGCCTTGTAGTTGTCCCAGTTTTTGTTTTCGGGCTCCTATAGTACTCCGTCTCAACTTTGTTAATTTCCAAAGTGAATTGTAAGTGTCTATGATCAGAAAGAAAAGGTTTCGGAGGATACTTTCTACCCTTTTATCTTTTAAAGTAACTCATTTGAGCAAACTGTCAGATCAATGACTTCCTGCTTGTTCCTGATTACAAAGGTAGGTTCAATACCTCTATTCAGTATACTGAGGTTTGTAGTCAGCAATAGATCTATTATTAACTCTCCTCTTTGGTTAATGTTACTGCTCCCCCAAATAGTGTGGTGAGCATTAGCATCCATACCTAGGATGAGTTCTAATTTTTCATTTTTGCAATAATAAAGAGCATAATTAGATCTCTATTTGGGTCTGTGACCTCATATGGTAGGTATCCTGAAGCTACTATAATATTTTTACCATCGCTTAGTGTTACTTTAATAATAGTCAAGTCTGCACAAATCATTTTCAGTGAAGAACATTTTTCATTATTTATGAAATAATAAATTATTATTAAAATTAATATATTTTATAAAAATATATTAATTTTGGACAAAATCTTGCTAAAAGTACCATATTTTAAGTTAAAAATTTTCAGTCAAATAAATTATATCTAGTGATCTATTAATTGTAGCAGTATTTAATTAATTAATTTCAAAGGTTATGATAAAAATATGTTTTTTTTTTAAGTTTTATGCTTAAGTAATGCAGTACTTTTCTGCTAATAATATTTTTTACCACAAATATTTAATTCTATAATTTTTTTTGTAAATAGCTTAGTTTGTAAGATAAATGACAAAAATAAAAGAAACAACCATACAGTCTAATTTTCAATCATCTTGCGGCACTTGTTAACGTCACTCAATTATAATCAAATTTTGTACAAATTATTTTTTTACCTAATAAAACAGTTCTAGAGGGTGTATAGAATGAACTTTAAATGTACATTTTTAAGAACCTCCCTAATATGATGTACAATACTAATTACACTAAGCATTTTATTGGTATGCTTTTTATAATAATCTAATAAAAAAGGTAAGTATAGAAAGAGTTTTAAGACCATTCAAGTAAAAGATTTTAAAGAGTGTTTTGATTAGGAAAAGAAAAACGTTTTCATAATAGTTTTTCTATGAGTATTTGACTTTAAAACCCACTATTTCAAAAAAAAATTTAACAGATTAGCATCTTAGCGTTTCTTATATAATTTTATCAATTTAATATTTTTAAACATCAACATACATAATTAACAATATTTATAATAGTATGTAATTAAGAGAATTCAACCATTACTTCTACTTAAGGTTGAAGACCTTAATTTTTTTTTTGGTTATTCAAATAAAAAAAACCCAAAACAGTGGGGACGTGGCGTAGTTGGGTCCAGAATAGATTTAATCTGACAGTGATTAAAATCACTATTATAAGAAACGCTTCGATGTAAATCTGTAGATAATGTTTAATTCTAAAAAATTGGCGGATAATTACAAAAGCAACATCAACTATTTCCATAATTATATCCAGATTAGTAATTCTTAGATTCAATAATATAATATAAAATTATATATTATATAATTGTTATATTGAATTGTTTTCAAATTATTATTGATATTGATTTTTAATATCCTAATATGTTAAAAGTAATAATTTCTAACATGCTTTTTTTCGTCCTTTAAAGTGAAAGTTTATAATAAAAAAAAAAAAATGAATTTACTACCATAACTTTTAGCTCAACTTAAGTTTGAAATTGACATCATTAAATTGAAAACAAAACTGTAGCACAGTGGAGTCGCGGCACAGTATGGACGTATTTTTTTAATCGTTTAAAGTTGATTTTTGTAAATGTTTTAATAAAAAAAAATTTATTTTACCATAACTTTTAGCTCAATTGGTAAGTTTGAAATTGACATCATTAAATAGAAAATTTTATGAGAATAAAAAAAATTGAATCGTTAAGATTAATATGCAGTTAGGAAGTTTTATAATTACTATTTATAGTAAATTTATCAGAGTAGTTCAATATTTTTTTGCATTTTTATCGTAATTGATAACTTAAATAGAAGTAATAGTAATCATTTTCTAATTACTTTTGGTGTTTAAAAAGATTCTGTAATTGAAATATTCAGAACTTAATTAAATTTAATGATTTACTTTAACTAAATGAACCAATCAAAACAAAGTCGTTAAAAAGATTTACTCAATTAAGTGTATTATAAAATTTGATTATAATTGTAAAAATCCATTGTTAATTCAGGAGAAACTATCAATCATTTTTTTTAGAAATGATTTATATAGCAACATGTTACCAAAAAATTTGGAATATTATAGTCTAGTAGTAGCACACAC